CTATCTTTCTAATTCTCTCTCTGTTTTTCTCTCTGTCTCTATTTTCTCTTCACTTAAAAAAAGTCACTGATGATGAAGAAATAAATAAACTAAATAAACTAATATTTGTTTTCGTTTTCTAATGAAGTGACACAAAAAAAAGGTCACTGGGTAGCATATTAGCATTTTTTATGTTAAAACTGCAGTTTGTGCCTTCAGGATCCCTGTGTAACGTCAGCGTTTTTAATTCTCCTCCTTTCTGTCAGTGTTTCTCTCTTGGCCAATCTGCCGGAGGACAAGCTAAGCAAAATCGTGGACTGCCTGGAGGTGGTAAGTTATTCTGTCAGACTATCTATATTTCTACCAGAGGGACAATTTGAGTTTTTGCATGTATTGCACAACTTTCTGGCAGCTCCTGGGAGCCAGCATGTTGCAGATAGCTGCTGTCAAAATATCATTACCATTTGGCCGTATACCATTACCACATGTCAGCATAATCACTGCAGCTCCGGTTGGCAAGAAACTCACAAATTACCGTGTTGATGAACAGAGGCAATATTATTCCTGTCATCGCCGTAGGCTGGATATTGTTACTGTAATTATTTGACTAAGGCCCCGGAAAGTGTTTATTCAAACGGAGGGACGAGTGATTTCTCAAAGATGTGCGAGAAACGGGCCGTGAGACGATAACGACTGTGTGTGTGACAGAATGTGTGTGGAAACGAGGCCGACCTCGGTTCTGCAGGAACATTGGATTTCCGCTGGAAAAAACCCCAAAAAGACAAAGCATCGGATCAAAAAGTGCTTTCCTCGGCATTTTTTCACAAAGAAAACTTCAAGGACAGTCGTCGCTTTTGTCGCCCCTCCTGCTGTTCCTCATTCAGTCGTTCTGATGAGTTTTATTCTCCCGCCTCTCAGTGCTTCAGCATATTGCACTAAAAATCCTTCAAATGTGGATAAAAGCATAAAAATTAGCTTGAATGTTTTTCATGTTTCCCATTAGCCACTTGAATTTCAAGATGGTGGACATTTTCCAAGATGGACGCCACTTTTGAGCCTTTTAAACCAATTGTTGCCAGCAGTCATCCAGGACATGGAAAATTAAAAGAAACGAGAGGAAACAACTGGAGTTTTTTTCTGTAGCTGTTTCAAAATTTAAACTGCAGCAGTTTGGTATCACTATTCCAAATCACGTGTCAAACTCAAGGCTCTCAATTCACAGTGAGCCCCCCACCTCCCCCATCCCAAAAAATAGTATGAAAATTGTTTTTATAACGGTGGTAAACTTTAAATTTGCAATTAAATGCAAGAAAATAAAGAAATTTAAAAGGTGAGAGATACTATTATTATTAAGTTAGTTTACTTATTATTAACCGAGCAATTTTGTTGGGTAGCACAGTATTAAACGGCCTGTGACATGCTTATCCTTCAAATACAAAAAAGTCAAAGAAAACGGTTTTATTTAAGAAAATTGGCATAATACACATTATTTTACCCATTTTGCCTCATATCTGGCATATTTTCATTTGAATTTGGCTCAGCAAAGTGAAACAGGAAGTGACATCAAAGGGAACTCTTTAAGAAAAGAAACTCTCTAGTCATTGTTTATTGAAACAATCTTATTTAAACTCTTCATCTCTGATAGTGTCTCCAAATAATCTAAAGAATCAGATTCTTCTCTAATTATTGTAGCATCGCTCTGTTTACCTGCAGACGTTCCCCTTTGACATCACTTCCTGTTTCTTCACATGCAAATATCTCAACAAGTGTTCATCTCAATGGTGTGAAATTTGTTTTGCAACATGTTATCAATGTTCTCTTTCCAAAAACGCATTCACATTTATCACAAAAATTTGATGTCACAGGCCCTTTAAATAAGTTAAACCGGCATTGACCATAAACTACACTCACCGGCCACTTTATTAGGTACACCACGCTAGTAACGGGTTGGACCCCCTTTTGCCTTCAGAACTGCCTCAATTCTTCGTGGCATAGAT